GCGAATGCGAAGTGCACGATGGCGTGGAAACGTGGCGAAGAATGCGGCGAGGTGGGGGACCTGGCGATGATCCCGTCAGTGGCGAAGAATGCCGCCGTCGTCGAGACCTGGCGAACGGAGAGCGCCGCGCGGGCCGTGACGCTGGAGGTGAATGGGGGCCGAAACCTGGGTGACAGCAGATATTTCTGGTGGCAAGCAGATGACACAGGTCAAGAAAAAATAGCAACGTAAAGTCGCGGGAAGCGGCCGCCCCCCGCCCCCCCAGCACGCGCGGTGGCGACGCGAGGAGACGACAGGGCAAGAGACAGGGTAATACATATAATACCTCCTACTAGAAAAAATGGGCGGATGAGAATGCAAAGGCGGAGGAAGAGGAGTTGGTTCAGAACTAGAAATCCTAGCAGTAGTAGTAGTAGTAGTAGTAGTAGTAGTAGTAGTAGTAGTAGTGGTAGTAGTAGTAGTAGTAGTAGTAGTAGTAGTAGTAGTCGTAGTAGTAGTCGTAGTAGTAGTCGTAGTAGTAGTAGTAGTAGTAGTAGTAGTAGTAGTAGTAGTAGTAGTAGTGGTGGTGGTGGTGGTGGTGGTGGTGGTGGTGGTAGTAGTAGTCGCAGAAGTAGTCGTAGTAATAGCCTCAGGTGCCCGAGGCTGCGGCGCGGCAAGCATAACTGCCCGCGCGCCTACTCATGCTCCAGATGCACAGCCATGCACGAGAACACGGATGGACGGGAGGCAGTCATACAGGCTGCGAGAACTGACAGCGGCGCAGGTTCAATCCAGCACTCGCGGGACCGCGGGGCCAAGTTCCAGGAGTCCTTCAACGTGCTAGGAGAGAGCCTGGTCGTGCTGGTGGGCGACGCGCTCGCCGAGGACGGAGAGCTGGCCCTGCGGCGCGCCCCGAAGGGCGTGCGCATAGGCATCGGCAAATCCAGCAACGGGGCGCCACCTGCCACGAAAGGGGTCGCAAAGGAGGTCGGGCGTCCGATGGCGGTGGCGGAGGCGCCAGGGGGGCCCTGCGCGCCTCCGCCGCCGGCCGAGGACAGCGCGGCCGGCTGGGAGATGACGGCGACGCCGCGCTCTGGAGCGTCAGAGGAGCCCGACGGCCGCGACTGGGATCTGGTGGAAGAAATTGCAGACGTCCACTCCCTCATCAACGTGGGCTACTCGAAGAAGACGCTCAAGCGGATGGCGAGGTGCTGCGCCACTGTGCTGCACGAGGCCCTGCGGGCCCAGATGAAAGGGGGCCCTCGGCGCCACTCGCGAGAAGAGGGGTGGCGTGATACGGGCCGTGGGCTGCGCGAGGAGCACGGCGACCTGGTTCGAGAGGCTAGGCGCCTGCGCAAAGAGCAGCCGCGAGTTGAGAGCTGAAGTCGAAGGGAGGGGCGCCCCGTGCACGGCCGAGGCGGGCAAGAAAGGGCCGCTGGAGGAGCGCGAGCGGGCGGCCGCGTGACCCGGGCAACCAGAGGGCCTTCAGGGAGGAGTCGGGTGGCGATGCAGACGTGCAGGAGGCCTGCCGCAGGACGGGCGACCAGTTCACGATGAACATGCGCCACAAGTGCAATGCGCGCAAGACCGCGGACAACCCGGGAGGGTGCAAGTCCCTTATCCGCACGGACCGCTGGACACAGCTTCTCTCCCTGGAAGAGAAAGCGGGGGGGCGGGGTGGCCAGCGGCGGTGCCGCCGCTGCGGTGCTCGGTGCGCCGCGAGCTCTGGCGCGCGCATCGAAATGATTGACCGCGCGGCCAAGCCACCGAAGGCGCGGCACCTACAGGCCAACTTCCCCGAGGAGGACGTCAGGGATCTGAAGGCCCTGCTGCGGGCGGACAAGCTCAAGAAGGACGGAGTAGCGGCGGTCAATCCTGCGGATGCGTTGCAGCACCTTCCGCATGTAGGGCCCTTGGCAGTGGGCGCAGCGTTAAGGAAATATTCGAAACAGAAGCACAAAACGAGCGACCGAAGGTCCCTTTGGAGCAATTCGCATGCGTCCCAGGACGCCCGAGGACTCGGAGAAGGCGCCTACGGCGCAACGCCGGACACCGAGGGCCACGTTTACGCGTTGGCACGCGCGCGGTGTCCATCGATCGGCGCCGGGCTTCTTTCGACGAGGAGTCGCGTCGCCGGGGCGAGGGTCAGCGCGCCCTCGCTCCTGGGGCCGACGGTCGTAGTAGTAGTAGTAGTAGTAGTAGTAGTAGTAGCAGTAGTAGTAGTAGTAGTAGTCGTAGTAGTAGTAGTAGTAGTAGTAGTAGTAGTAGTCGTCGTCGTCGTCGTCGTCGTCGTCGTCGTCGTCGTCGTCGTCGTCGTCGTCGTCGTCGTCGTCGTCGTCGTCGTCGTCGTCGTCGTCGTCGTCGTCGTCGTCGTCGTCGTCGTCGTCGTCGTCGTCGTCGTCGTCGTCGTCGTCATCGTAGTCGTAGTAGTAGTAGTAGTAGTAGGTAGTAGTAGTAAGTAGTAGTAGTAGTAGTAGTAGTAGTAGTAGTAGTAGTAGTAGTAGTAGTAGTAGTAGTAGTAGTAGTAGTAGTAGTAGTAGTAGTAGTAGTAGTAGTAGTGTACTAGTAGTATAGTAGTAGTAGTTAGTAGTAGTAGTAGTAGTAGTAGTAGTAATAGTAGTGTAGTAGTAGTAGCAGCAGCAGTAGTAGTAGCAGTAACAGTAGCAGTAGCAGTTGTAGTAGCAGTCGTAGTAGTAGTAGTAGTAGTAGTAGTAGTAGTAGTAGTCGTCGTAGTAGTAGTAATAGTAGTAGTAGATAGTAGTAGTTAGTAGTAGTAGTAGTAGTAGTAGTAGTAGTAGTAGTAGTCGTAATAATAGTAGTAGTAGTAGTAGGAGTAGTAGAAGTAGTAGTAGTAGTAGTAGTAGTAGTAGTAGTAGTAGTAGTAGTAGTAGTAGTAGTACTCGTCGTCGTCGTCGTCGTCGTAGTAGTAGTAGTCGTACGAATAGGAATAGTCGTGGTAATAGTCGTAGTCGTAGTCGTAACAATCATAGCAGTACGCTCCTGGCCAGCACGCGCTGCCCGCCCAGAGGCGCTGTGGCCCTCCGTGCCCCCTCGCGTGGCGGGGGGGCGTGCCAGAGAGGCCTTGGCCCCAAATGGCCCGAGCCTAGATGGCCACGGAGAGGCAAGGTGGAGAACGAAAGAGGACGGAGGAGGCGGATGACGGAGGAGAACGGAGGAGAACGGAGGAGAGGAGGAGGAGGAGGAGGAGGACGAAGCAGAACAGGTGGAGGAGGGGGACGGAGGAGAAAACGAGGAGGATGAGGAGGAGGAGGAGGAGAAGGAGAAGCAGAGGAGGAGGAGGAGGAGGAGGAGGAGGAGGAGGCGGAGCGGGCGGGGCTGCGGCTTGCAGGCCAGAGGGATACTGCTCCGAGAGCGGCCTCCTTGCCTCTGCACTCTCATTACCACACTGTTTGATTTCCGTCTGGCCGGATCGCTTGAGGAGGGGGGCCCAGGGAGGGAGGAGCAGGGGAGACAGAGGAAGACCAGCAGCATGGATGGCGGACGACGAGGAGGGGAGGAGGGGAGGACGAGACATTATGACCCCAGGTCGAACTCGAGATGGGGCAACAAGAAGGGCAACACAACTCCAGCGCCGATCGCCCCGACCCGCCAGAGATCCTTGGGGGCGCGCAGAAGGGGGATACAGGGGAGGGGGGGAAGGCTGCTTCTTAGGAGGCGCCGGACTTACATCTATAGAGAAGGCCCGCGCCTCCTAAGAAGCAGGGGTGATTCTAAGAAGCCCGCAACCCTCCCCCTACCCTCCTGTGCGCGTGGCTGGGATCAGGGCCCTCCCCTCGGAACGAACACTTCCTCCTGGACCTGTCCTGGGGTGGGCTCCGGCCAGAGTTTCGAGGCGGCTCCAGCCGGCGCGACGAGAAGCCTGGATCGGAGGTCCAGAGCTTCCCAAAGGTGCCCATGCAACTCAAACGTCGACCCTCGATCGTCCTCCTCCTCCCCCTCCCGATCCTCGAACGCTGTGAACAGAGTGGAGGCTTTGACCCACGATGCTCCTCGATGCTCGATCCTCCTCCAACTTGATGTTCCTCCTTCTCCTCCTCCTGCTCGTCCTTCTCCTCTTCCTCCGCCTCCTCCTCCTCCTCCTCCTCCTCCTCCTCCTCCTCCTCCTCCCCCCCCCTTCTTTACCACCAACTCCTCCTCGTCACCAGACGTGTCGACATCACGATGCAAGCGCTTCGCCCGAAAATTCCACGACATGTATTACACAGAAGCTTGTGGCGTCAAACTGTTACACAGATGGTGGGCGAATCGTTTTCAAAATGCGACTCTTGCCTTAGTGTCGCGGGTATGCGTACTCAAATCTTACAACCCTTGCACGGATGGAGCAAGGGTCATTTCCAGAATCCGGGTCTTGCCGTAGCCACAGAGCATATTCGTCTTATGACTTGGTCAACAACTGGATGAGAAGTGTTGTCAGCTTCGCTGCCCTGTGTTGTCTAGAGGTCTGCTAGCTCTCTAAAACGTCCCCATGTTATCTTCACAACCGTCATCACCGACGTCCCTGTGACTGTCCGTGCATCGTGGGGCGCATCGTGAGATACCTGTCGAGACGAGGGGGATGGGCGCAGGGATGATGCGGGGGACGACGGGGATGGGCGCGAGGACGCAAGGGGGGATGACTCGCGGGACGCCGCGCCGAGGACGCAAAGGGGGGAACGATTTAAAACATAGTTTTCTGTCACTGCTGCACATTTTTTCTAACTGAGGGAGAACGCTTGAAAAAAGAGTTGTCCAGCCCGCGGCCGGTTTTTTTTTCTAACCATCCTCCCGGGCGCCGCCGCGTGAACACGACCCCTGGTCATCAAGTAATCGTCATCCTCCATTCGGGGTTGGACAGACCCCCCTTTAGTAAAACGTGGTTTAGTGAAAACGACCTCGGGCCCAAACCTGTCGGGCGCAAGCCTGGAAAATGACGGCCGCGGCGCCCTCTCGAGAACCGAAAACGGACAATTCACTAATCGACGTGTCACTGTTGGGGGTTCTGTCCACCTCCGATCCATTAGTGACCGGGCGGCTCTCCAAAGAGGGGCTCTCGTGCCATCGCCACGCACGCTCGCCCGACACGCGACCGGCAGCTGCGTGGCTGGAGGAGGGGTCGCGTCTGGCACGCGTCTCCGGCCGTGCGCCTCGTGGGCTCCGCCCAGAGCATGCTCCGCGAGCGGCGTGGGCTTGTTCGTCGCCCCTGGCAGGAAGGGCACTCGTGGGGAGCGAGGAGGAGAAGGAGGAGGAGGAGGAGGAGGAGGAGAAGAAGGAGGGTGGAGGAGGAGGATGAAGATGAGGAGGAGGATGAGGAGGAGGAGGACGAGGAGGAGGAGGCGGAGAAGGAGGAGGAGAGATGAGGAGGAGGAGGAAGAGGAGGAGGAGGAGGAGGAGGAGGAGGAGGAGGAGGAGGAGGCCCCGCGCCCTCGAGGAGGCCTCGGGGTCCTTGGGGCCCGGTCGGGCGTCGAAGCCGCGTGGATGAAGGGAAGGGGGGTTGCAAAAAAACCCAGGATTGCAAACCAATCCCTCGTGGATCAAGGTTTTTTTTTTTGCAATCCTTCGTGGATGAAGGGTTGTTTTTGTTCTGCAATCCTTTTTTGCAACTCTTTGCAACCCGTCTTTGCAAGCTGGGCTGTCGAGTGAAGCGTCTGCAAAGTCTAACTCGCAGGGAAGAGAGGCCAAGTCTGCCACAGCTGCACGGGCGGAGGGCGTACCGTTTTTGGTAGAGCGCCGGATGCCGCGGAGCAGCCTCGTGAGCAGCATGGCCATGCCTCGTGGCCCATCTTGCAGCGGGAACGACTCGAGGCGGCCCCTTTTCAAAACAGGCGTCCCGCTCGAATGGCACGTACATGGGGTGATGTGTGTCAGGAAGGCGCTTTCTGCAATGACACAACGAGCATCATGGCCATGCCTTGTGGCCCATCTTGCAGCGGGAACGACTCAGGGCGGCTCCTTCTCAAAACAGGCGTCCCACTCGAATGGCATGTAAATGGGGTGATGTGTGTCAGGAAAGCGCTTTTTGCTATGACACAACGACTTCGTGCAGGGATTTCTGAGGGGACTAGGGACGGATGGGTGTACTGCAACATCCTCGACGCATCCTGGGTTTGCACTGGTCCGTCTCTTTTCCTCCTGCGAAGCATGGCGTGGGGCTGTGCGAGGAGCGGGGTGATTGGGCAACGAGAGAGATCTGGATCTACACGCTGAGACGCAAAATAGTGCACGCATGACGTAGCCCAGGTAACTGCCTGCGCACTCTAGGTGTGAGCGCAGGGTCAGGTTAGTCAGTGTTCTGAACCCATTAGCCCGGCCGTCATCTTTACATGTGCACTGTACAAGATGGAAGACATCACTGATGAAATTCACGAAGCCTAAACCTGCGCGCGAGCTAAAAAGTAGCCTCGGAAGGCGAGGAACGAACTACTGAGGCCATGCCGAGGTAGTGCCCAGCGGCCCTCTGAGATTCCACCGCAAGCCCAAATTTCTGCGCTCCCTCCACAATTCCCGGACTGCCGCTGCCAGGTCGCCATTTCCTCTAGCTCGCCAGCCTCACTTCTAGGCAAGCGACGACAAGAAATAATGCGCGGGATTGAACTTTTCGATCCGCGGGCCTGGCAGTAGGTCGGGCATGTCCTCCTCCAGGCGGGTTTTGAAGGACGGGTCAACACTAGCCAAACCATACTCAAACATAGTCAATCATAGTCCCAAACTCGTCCCCAGATTATCTTGTTCGCCTTTCCTCCTGTGGAGGGGCATGCGCGACCTGAGCCTGGCAAATCTCGACGCTTTCCTGGGTGCAGCGGTTCCCTTCAAATCATATCCGGATGCCCCGAGGGACCGGACAACGGCCTCGAGAGGCAGAAGGCTGCTTCGAAACACCTCCGTCAAGAAATTCCAACACGTTGGTGACCAGGAGGGGACGTGCCATCGCTCGGGCTTCCTTTCCCCGTGTGGGTGTGGGTTCGATGTCGTGCGTGCATGTGTTCGCAAGATGCTCCAATATGCTCCGCATTGGTCCTCGCCGAGAGCATTACATGCACACGTCCGAGCGATGCCAAGAGGAGGAGGAAGGAGGTTGGAAGAGAGGGAGGAAGATGGGGAGGGGGAGAGCCCCACCTCCAGCTGGCCTCCTCTACGAATCCCTCCTCAGTTCGCCGACCTCGCTACTTTTTTCGTGACGAGCCCCCTCCTCCTCCTCTTCCTCCTCTTCCTCCTCTCCTCCTCCTCTCCTCCAAGCAGAGCCAGGCCATCCTCCTCCTCCTCCTCCTCCTCCTCCTCCTCCTCCTCCTCCTCCTCCTCCTCCTCTCCTCCTCCCCCCCTCCCTCCCTTCTCCCTCCTCCCTCCTCCTCCCTCCTCCTTCCTCCCTCCTGCTCCCTCCTGCTCCCTCCTCCGCCCTCCTCCTCCCTCCTCCGCCCTCCCCCTCCTCCGTCCTCCGAAGATATCCGCAAGCCCCCGGAAGCCTCGAGAGGCCTCGCAGGAAGTCATGTGGAGCATCAGATAACTCCAGAAGGCCCCGGCCTTGGAGAACGGAGCGCGCCGGGGGCGGCGCCGGGGGCGCCGCCAGGGGCGCCGATCCAAGAAACCCGCGCGGAGCTCCAGACGTTTACGCTCATGCAGTTGACGTTCTGCCAACCCCTGGGGCGCCCCAGGATCCGACGAAGCCAGGACGAAGATAAATTCGGGTGGGGATACATCGAGAATCTCTGAGAGCTGGCGGCTCTGGAAGATGCATCGGGCACGGCGGCCTTCTTCAGAGCGTTCCGGAACGCTCTGAGAGCGTTCCGGAATGCTCTGGAACGGACTTATCTTCGTCCTAGCCCTTTCCCCCAAGACCACCTGTTCTCGAAGAAACAACTCTCCATCGCTCGGACGGCCATTCCCCGTGCATTTTTGCGATTCCGTGCGTGTTTGTTTCTCTCGATGATCCAGGATGTTCCTCGATGGTTCTCGCCGAACAAATGCATACGTCCGAGCGGTGCCAAGACAGAACAAGGGCAAAGACATACACTTCCAAAGGTCCTCCCTCCCTCCCTCCCTCCCTCCCTGCCTCCCTCCCTCCTCCCCCTCCTCCTCCTCCTCCTCCTTTTCTTCCTCCTTTTCCTGCTTTTCCTCCCCCTCCTCCTCCTCCTCCTCCTCCTCCTCCTCCTCCTCCTCCTCCTCCTCCTCCTCCTCCTCCTCCTCCTCCTCCTCCCTCCTCCTCCTCCTCCTCCTCCTCCTCCTCCCCCCCCTCCTCCTCCTCCTCCCCCCTCCTCCTCCTCCTCCCCCTCCTGACAGACCCGGGGCCCGCAGAGGGCCCGTGGGCCCGTGGGGGGGGCCCACGGGCGGACCCGGGGCCCGGAGGGCCCCTCGGGGGGGCCCCAGAGCCCCGCCCGACGGGCTCCTCCGAGCGCCCGACCCCCATCACGCAGAGGGCGCGGGGCCCGTGGTGGCCGCTCCTCTCGGAGGCCCAGGCGCACGCCAGGAGGAGGCCGGCCACGGCGATTTTTGCGCACGGCGCCTCCTCCAGGCCCTCCTCGTCCTCCTTCTCCCTCTCCTCCTCTTCCTCCTCCTCCTCCTCCTCCCTTCCCCCCCCCTCCGTTCCCTCCTCTTCCTCCTCCTCCTCCTCCTCCTCCTCCTCCTCCTCGTCGTCGTCCCCTCCCGCCGCCCGCTCCCGCTCGCGCGGGAGCGCGCAGGGGACGAGGGAGGAGGAAGGAGCAGGAGGAGGAGGAAGACGAGGAAGACGAGGAGGAGGAGGAGGAGGAGGAGGAGGGAGGAGGAGGAGGAAGGAGGGAGGAGGCATGAGAAGGAGGAGGGAGGAGGGAGGAGACGGAGGAGGAGGAGGAGGAGGAGGAGGAGGAGGAGGAGGATGAGGAGGAGGACGAAGTAGGAGGAAGATGAGGAGGAGGAAGACCGCGTACTCCTGAATCTTTCGAAACACAATGTCTGGTACGTTGACGATGTTAATACGTGAAACTCTTGCACGTTTTGTCAACGTTGGTGCGCAACGCTGAAGCGAGAACCACATCGTGAAAACCACCCGCCCTCAATCCGTGAAACTCTTGAAGATGTTCAAAAAAGTGCGCCGCGCTGAGGCGATAACCACATTTTGAAAACGACCCGCCCTCGATTTGTGAAATCCTTGCAAATGCTTAAAACGAATGTGCGCCGCGCTAAAGCATGAACCACATTTTGAAAACCGCCCACCCTCAATCCATGTGCGCCGCGCAAAAGCGAGAACCACATTTTGAAAACCGCCCGCCCTCAATCCGTGAAGCTCTTGCAATTGTTGTTAAACGAATGTGCGACCGCACTAACACAAGAACGACATTTTGAAAACCGCCCGCCCTCAATCCGTGAAACTGTTGCCAATTTTTGAGTCTCAGAATCATGATTGGTGAAGACATCTCAGGCGAAACGCCTGGCCCGCACTAAAAACTGGCCTCGGGGTGCGACAGGGAGGATTCAGTTATAAGGAAAATGAGTTGAGGAGAGGGAGGAGGAGGGATGAGGAGGACGAGGAGGAGGCGGAGGAGGAGAAGGAGGAGGAGGAGGCAGAGGAGGAGGGGGATGAAAAGGAAGGTGGTGGACGAGGACGACCATGAGGATTAGAAGGAGGACGATGAAGAGCAGGAACAAAGAAGTGGAGGACGAAGGGGACGAAGTAGATGAAGACGACGAAAAGGACAAGGAGGAGAAATAGCATGAGGGTGATGAGGACAAGGACGAAGGTGAAGTAAGAGGACGACGATAATGAGGACGATGATTGAGGACGCTGACGATGAGAATGACGATGAGGACGAGGACGAGAGGAGGAGGATGAGGAAGAGAAGGAGGAGGAGGAGGAGAAGAACGATGAGGACGAGGACGAGGACGCTAACACTGTAGTGCTTCGCCCATGATGTCTTACACGGTCCTGAATTCCTCTACCTGCATACCCTGTAGTCCACATGGGCTTTTGGCTGCCTGGGGCAAACCTACAGAACAATTATACTCGGGTCGCTGTAATGATCCGTCCGACTGATGTTCAGAACACTCGTGCACGTTGTTAGGCCGCCTGCGACTTCTCGTGAATGATCACAAACACGAAAGACAAGTAAACGGCCCCTTAACGCATGCTATGCCGTCATTCATGTTCGGAAGCTTGAGCACTAGGCTGATTCCGGTCTTCAAGGCTGTTTTCAGCGAACGTACTCTTCATCTCCTCCGCGACACTTCGGTTCTAGCTGATAGGTTGCGCGATCTGCGCCTTGACCATGTTTTAGCGTTCCTGAGTTTTGTTTGGATGGCGGCATCGATCAACTTCCTGTCGATGACATTCCCAAACAGCGTTTGCACGCAAGGGCGTCCACTGACATTGCTTTACGCCATTAGATGGGCTTGCCTGGTCTTCGCCACCTTGACGCCCGTGCCGCCTGGAGAGCACCCCGTGCGCTGAGTGGGCTTCCCGAAGTTGCGCCACGCTCCCGCCCGTGACGCCTCGGGGGCGCCTCGTGGGAGCCCCGTGCGCTGGGTGGGCTTCCCGAGGTTGCGCCACGCTGCCACCCGTGCCGCCTCGTGGGCGCCCCGTGCTTTGAACTTACTTGACGTAGATTCTCCTATCTTAAAACAAATGATCCCGGAGAAAAGCCCCAATCAGATTTTTGTTAGGGCTATAGGGCTATAGGGCTTTAGGGCTATTGGGCTATAGGGCTATCGGGCAATAGGGCTATCGGGCTATAGGGCTGTGACCTATAGGGCCATAGGGCTATAGGGCTATGGGGCTATAGAGCTATAAGGGCTATGGGGCTATAGGGCTATAGGGATATAAGGCTATTAGGGCTATAGGGATATAAGGCTATAGGGCTACAGGGCTATAGGCCTATACGGCTATAGGGCTATAGGGCTATAGGGCTACTGGGCTATTGGGCACCCCCGGGCACCCGGGCACCCCCGGGCATCCGGGCACCCCCGGGCACCCGGGCACCCCCGGGCACCCGGGCACCCCCGGGCACCCGGGCACCCGGGCCCGGCCACCGAAATCGGCTACCCGGGCATCCCCGGGCACCCGGGCACCCGGCCCCGGCCACCGAAATCGGCCGCCGACCTCACCTCAGCTTTATATCCGCTAGGACCCCTACAGAAGCAAGCTCTGATTGGGGAAATAGGATCCCCCCCTCAGGCGTTATCGGTCCCCCTTTCGGGTATGTAAACCATACATGGTTATGACCACATGTCCATCCTAAATATGAAATCACAATGTCCCAGGCCAGCCGGTATCCCCCCCCCCGAGGTTCCCTTGTAAAAAATACTATGCGGTGACATTTGATGTTCTCAAATAGCACTTTTTCGCGAATCCCTTGCAAAAAACGGGACGAAGTGCGCACGCGCGCGTCGTCGCGCGCGCATGCCGAAATCCTTCAAACACCTTCGGTGCCGGAAGGATTTCGCAATCGAGTTCCCCAAAAACATACACAAACACAAGGTTTCGCAACACTGATTTGCTAAAAAACGCTTCCGCGCGACCTCTTGCGAAATCTTTAAAACAAAATCCATAGCGTTTTCAAGATCTT